ATTTTTGATTTTGAAATTTATTGGGAATTTTGGGTTTTGATTTGGATTTCTGGGGTTATGATTGAAATTATGGGAGGTTTTTGAAGGGATCTGAAAAATTTTAGGAAAATCTGAAAATTTCTGGGATTTTTTGGGAAAACTGAGTTTTTTGGTTGAACATTTGAATTTTTCAACGAGTTTTCCAACGAGGTTTGAATTTTTCAATGGGATTCCGATAATTTTTCTAGAAACCAACAAACTTTTCTAATTTTCAATGATGTTCTTAAAGGGATTTTAGAGAGAATAAAAAGAGAATTGGGGTTGGAAAGAGAGCAAAAGGCTTCTGAAGAAAAACAAAGGAAGTTGGCTTTTATAAGGTGCCAAACGACATCGTTTTGAAGGATCGAGACCCGTACGTAGACTTGTTGACCCACGTACCGACCCATATGCTGACCTGACCCGATCACAAATTTTTTTTCTATTTTAATTTTAATTTTAATTTATTTTATATTTTAAGTTTTTTATTTTATTTTTATTTTTAGTTTTTTTATTCATTTTATTTTATCATTTATTTACTTCCATTGAGTAACTTATTATTTATTAAATATTTTGCAAAAATTCCTTTTTGTTTCTAAAAAAATAATAATAAATAAATAAATAAATAAAATATTTTCAAATTAATTTATGAATTCTATCAAACTATTGGAGAATTTTCATGGATTTAAATAGAATCCACTAAACTAGTGAGAAATTTCATAAATAAGTTTAAAAAAATAACAAAAATAATTTTTATTTTTTAAACTATTAGAGGATTACTTTCTAAATTAAATCTTACCAAATTATTGAAAAATTTAATGAACTTTCTAAAAAAAAAAAGTTTATAAATATCTTTCAAATAAAATCTCACAAAATTATTAAAAAAAATCTACCTCAAATTAAATCCTACCAAAATATTGAAGAGCTTCACTAATTTTCCTAAATAAAATGCGTTAATAAATTCAATGACGTAACCTCTTCAGAATGGGATATTAGTCTCCATAAATACTCTTAAAGTAAGAAAATTATCTAAAATTACTATCTAGAAAAATTATCTAAAATTACTATCAAACTATTAGTATAATTTTAAGATTGATTTTTAATATTAAATATTATGGTAAATTATAAACATGTTTAAGGCTTAGATCGAAATCAAACTGATATCATCTTTTGGATGGGCATTGTGAGAATGCTATAACCTTCCTTACATGTAACCGTATTCCGAACCTAAAATTTGGTTTTGTAAATCAAAATATACTATTTAAAGATACCTAAATTAATCTTAAGACTTCCTTTTAAATATGATAAATTTAATCAAGTGATCAATCATACATTAACAAAAGAAATTAATAATGATTCTTTTAATTTATATCTAACGGTAAATCTACGTATTTATACATTATAACAAGAAAGAATATGTACAAATCTCCAACACAACAACAAAATACAAGACTTCAGAATTTTACACTTAATTTAAACCTCAAAATTTGTTATCATAGATTAGCGTAAAGAAGTTGACCTTATGCTCTTATGGTATCCACCAATAATGGTTTCAATAACAGAAGTTACTTCAGTTGATCTTGAATTTTTCACCATTCAAGGAATTACGCACAAACCAACGATTTTTCAAATGAATAACCAAAGAAAAGGTAGTCAATCAAAGCATACACATATGCCTTGGGAACATATCCAGGAGCCGATTTTCCTTTTTATGGAGGGAAGGAAGACATTGATTTATATATGATGTCAGTTTTATATGAAAACTTGTTATCAATAATTACTAGCAAGATCTGAACTCCACGGTAAACACAGTTATTTGAACTTACTACTGTCATAGCTCAATTAAGATAGCAAGGATTCAAGGCAACAGGGATTTTTTTGCAAAAGACTATTCAATAGTAGTTTACCTTAGAAAATTTTATTTGTAGCTCAGGGTCCATAAAATATATTAATCTGTTGATAGCTATAAAATATTTACAGAAGAGCTAATCACGTTCAGAACATACAGCTGCTGACCATATGAGGGGATGCTGCTTCCAAGTTTGTGCTGATACTAAGTGCAGAAATCATGCAAGTATGGTGCTTCCAGGAGACTCGCCCAGCCCAAGTAAGTTCCCACTCGTGAAGGATAACCATCACCTGCTTGATATAACCTAGATGATGTATATTAAATAAAAGAAAGGTTTAAGGAAATAAAAAGTAGCTCAAATAAAGTTTTTTTTTTTTTTAAAAAAAAGGTATAAAGCAATTGGCCAAAGTCTCAAAAACAAATCAGCTGTATTTAGCATGACCAAAAGCCTTTCAATTGTGACATTATGAATGATAAAAAGAATTCTAGCAAGTATTCCGAGAAACGGAATTTCAAGTAGCCAATATAAAAGTGACAGTGTAATAAAAACTATAAAGTCATTAAATTTAACTACAATGCAAAAGGGAAAAAGAGGTCCATATGGACAGTTAACAAATTCCAGACTACTAACTGATTTTTTTGAAATTTAGTCCAAAAATAGGGCACTAACTTGTTACAGCTCAAATACTTTTGAGACAATCTTAAAATTAGTAAGAGACAGTTTTTCAAACTTACCATGCACAAATATAAAGTCTTTTATGTGCTTCATGTCCAAATCTCGTAAATTGATAATGTAAGATGATTCAACATAAGCAGAAACTGCACCTCCAGATCCAAAAGCATCATCCTCTCCAACAAACCCAGAAACAGCCTGATAAATAAAGATCCAATATCAAAATTTGAAAAAAGACAACTACTGAAGGCTTCTCAAGGATGCTTTACACCTGTAACATCAGCAAACACAAGGATCCTCCCATTTCTCGAGAATTTAAATTTAAAATGTTGATTTTTGTGATTTTAAATGTACAAGTGTGCGATTTCCAAACAATTTAAATAACCTGTGCACAGAATTTGCTAAGAATATAATCTTTTAACAGAAACCTTTTTTTCGAAAAACAAGATGCTAGTTTTTTTTGTCCAGGCGAGCCAACAATTCATGAGTTATTCTGTTTTTTGTATTATGGGAATAAATTCTCGTTAAAGCATGATGATGAGAACCGATACTCCCAATCCACAGAAATACTAGTTTGAATATACAGAATTTCTCAGAATATAGGGTTTGTAGCAATTACTATTCTCAAGATGCTGTCAAACAAACAGCAGAACTTTTTCTATCATTTATAAATCAACAATCCACATTGTAAAGACTAACATTAATAAATGCACTAACTGAAAAAAAAAAAAAACAACACCTAGCATTTTCTCCCTTCACATGAATGCTTTTTCATAGCATTATTAGACATAGAGAAAGTAAATATAAAATAGTCAAAAATACAGAAAGCAAAAAGAGACCTGAACAGCTTTAAGTATTATCATTTGCAAATCATAAACAAGAACGCTGCCACACCTGCCTTGAGGATCAACCTTTACCAACGGACTTCTTGCAAATGATTCTCTCGCTCTTTTCAAATGTAGCCACTCTAGGGCCTCAAAACAATGCATTGAGCTGGAAAAGAAGTCACCATCATCAATGAGTGAGTGTCAGCATCCAATATAGGAAAACAGACCATAGAACGGATAAATATGTCCTAAGATAAGATATTTAGAAACTAGGAGCATGACAAAGCTTCCACACATCAGTATGGGTATGAATAGCCTTTTTCAAGATATATCCTTATGTTGTTCGAAGTCCATGGATTGAATCATTGAAATCCATGACCAAAATTGTGGCATCTTGGAAGGCTAAGATAATCGAATCTCTTTTACTAAAGCCATTTGTGAAAAAAACTAAAAAATAAAATTGTGTGAAAAACTAAGAGTAAAATTGAATGTATATTGAAAAACTACTCATAAAAAATTATACAAGCACCTTAGGTTTGTATACAACTAACTAGTGGGTAAACTAGGAAATTAAATTTTCCTAAAATTGATCTTATAATTGAGAGATTATCTATGCTAATTTTCTATTCTTAATTGTAGGGATACAAATACTTAATTCTAAAGATACAAATATAAATTTATAGATTACAAGATTACAACCAGCTGTAAATAAGTGTTTTCTCACACTCCCTCTTAAGCTGGTGAATAGGTGTTTTTCATTTCCAGCTTGGAAATAATTTCTTGAAACGTTGCACTATTGAGATCTTTAGTCAACACATCTGCAAATTGACCCTTGGTTGATACATATGATGTACAAATCAACCTACTGTCTAGTTTCTCCTTTATGAAATGTCGGTCTATTTTAATGTGTTTTGTTTTGTCATGCTGTATAAGATTGTGTGCAATGTTTATTGCAGACTCGTTATCACAATAGAGTCTCATTGGTCCATCTTACTTAATCTTCAAGTCTTCTAGGATAATCTTTAACCATAGTAGTTCACAATTCTTTGAGCCATTGCTCTAAACTCTACTTCAGCACTTGATCTTGCCACCACATTCTGTTTTTTACTCTTCCAAGTCACGAGATTACCACCTAGGAAAGTGTAGTAGCGTAAGATAGATCTTCTATCAGTTACTAAACCTGTATAATCTGCATCTGTATATGCCTCTAAGACCAACCCCGAATTTCTTTTGAATAAGATACCTTTCTCAAGATTAGCCTTCAAATAGTGTAATACATAGTAGACAGCCTGTAGGTGCACTTTTTTAGGACTATGCATAAATTGACTTGTTACACCCACAACATATGTTATATCAGGTCTTGCATGTGAGAGATAAATGAGTTTTCCAACTAATCTCCGGTACATCTCTTTATCTACAATAGCATCTTCATTAGCTTCTCCAAGTTCCCATGTCTTAATTTTCTCTAAGGCCTTCATTTCTATTTTCATGGCTTGGCTCTATTTTTCGCTGGATAATGCCTCGAATAATATAGTTGGAATAGAAATAGTGTTTAGGCTCACAAGAAAATTTTTGTGGGATGGTGAGAATTTTTCAAATGACACAACATTAGAGATTGGGAATAGTGGATGCTTAATTAATTCTTTGATTCCTTTCTTAATGGCAATAGGTAGATTATAATCATTAGTTATAGTTTTAAGATATTCATGCTTATTTTGAGAAACAGAGTCAAAGACTGTAGTTACCTCATTTTCAAAGTTAGGATCAAGTTCTTGAACTTGTACTGGTTCAAGATTTGAAACTTTCCTTCTTTATTACACTTGTAATTCCTTCATAGAATCAAGAACAATATTATCTTTTGTCACATCTTCTGTATTTAGAATGGATTCAGACTCAAATTCAGTGTTTGATTTGGACTCAAAAGAAACAGGTTTAGATTCAAAAAAATTAACGGATGAAAATATTGAAGAGGATAACAAGTCAAGCAAAAAAAAAATCTTTATCCTTATCTTCCATGAATGACGTCTTCCCCTAAAGATAAGGTTAAGTTAAAAATGGTTTACTTTCTTCATAAGTGATATCTATGAACACATAGAATTTTTTGGTAGAAGGATGATAGCACGTACACCTTTTCTGAGTTGATGAATATCCCACAAAAATGCACTTAATTGCTCTAGGATCTAACTTTCCCCTATTATGACTATGAACATGAACAAATGATGTACAATCAAATATCCTAGGTGTGAGGTTGATTGTGGTATTAACGTTAGGATATAATTGTGAGAGTAGTTACATAGTAGTTTTAAATCCCAAAACCCTTGAAGGTAACCTATTTATAATGTGTGTGGTAGTGAGAATAGCTTCCCCCCAATAGGATTTAGGTATGTTTTTTTGAAAAAGTAAAGCTCAGGTTAAGGCTATAAATGGTTATTTTTTCTCTCTGCTACTCCATTTTGCTATGGAGTATTAACATAAGATAACTCATAGATAATCCTTTCATTTTGGAAATAGGTAGATAGACTCTTGTTGAAATAGTCTCTTATATTATTAGACCTAAATCTCTTGATTTTCACTCCAAATTAATTTTGGATCATGTTTTGGAAGTTTAAAAATACACTATTGACATCTAGTTTGGATTTAAGTAACAATATCAAGAGACCTTGCTATAATCATCTATGAAAAAACCAAACCACATTGCACCAAAAATATTAAAAATTGTAGAAGGACCTTATATGTCACTATAAATCAAGTAAAAAGGAGCAGGGATTCAAATAGTGGTGCTATAGTGGAATAGCGATCATGAAATTACGGTAGTGCCACCACCCGCCACCGTTATCAAGAAAAATACTGTTGAAAAATTTAATCACGCTCAAAACGATGTGTAACGGTCGCTAAAAAATAGTGTAACAAAGAATAGCGGCCATAACAGACCATTATTACTGCTATCTCATTTTTTCATCAATACAAATTAAAAAAAAAAACTTTCAAGTTTTAACCTAATATGTCAAGATTCTCAAAAATCAGAATAAAACAACTAAGATTGCAAAAGCAAAAGTAAAAACAAAAGTCAAAAGAAAAAATAACTCAATTAGTCAATCTGATTCTCATATTCTAAGTTGCAAAATTTATCTGAGAAAATAATATCAATTATCAACCATTCAATTGATAGCTACCCAAATTCAAATCAACCTCAAACCCTCAATCAACAACCAAAATCAAAGAGGGTATGAAAAAATTAAATTACGTATTTTTTTTATAAATTTTTTGTAGAATAATATTAATCTTTATGTTTGCGAGAATCTAAGTGAGAAAGATTAAGGTATATGAGAGAGATGTAGAAAAAAAGAGGAATTGATTGAGTTGATTTGAGGGAATGACGCCATAAAAAAGATTGAAGATGAACAAGGGAAATTTTAAGGAAAATTTAGGGACTGTTTGAAAGAAATCAGGGACTAAGGTGGGGTGTTGGGTCTTGTCTCAGATAGGGCAGTGGGTGAGGATGTGGGATTGGGGGTGGGGTGCGTTGGGGGTAGGGTGAGGGGTGGGGTGCATTGGTGGCATGGTGGGGAATGGTGGTTTTTATTTAATTTTATAATTAATTTTATTAAAATACAAATTTAAAATTTTGTAATTTTTAAAATTTTTTTAGATAAAATTTAGTTAGAAGGATTGATATTTTATAAATAAAAAAATTAAGAGATTAATAATTTAATATGATATATATAAAGATTTTAGATGAAAAATTTTAATAAATTTTTTTGTATAAGTTAAACGAAAAATAATTAAAATTAAACATTATATTTTGATTTTGTTATTTATTAATTTATAAATTTATATTTGAAATTTAATAATTTTTTTATTGTTTTGGTATTTATATTGTTATCAATTCTTTTGCTATTAAATTAATTCTTATTAATTTATTTTTATTTTTGTGTAATTATTGAATATTCTATTTATTATAATCTAACTAAAATTGTGAATAATTTTTTTTAGAAAATAAAAATATAGTATCATAAACTATTTTAAAAATCATTAAATAAGAGTTTTTATGATTATAATTATAATTATTATATTTTATAACAAATTGTACAAAATTAAAAAAAAAAATCACAATCGCGATGACCTCGATGATCGCAATGATATTTGTTATATCCGAAAATGTGATAAACGCGAAAGATCGAAAATGTGATCGCAACCGCTATTAAATCCTTGAAAAATAGTAGAACTTCTTTTATTGCTAACTGAAAAAGACACACATCTATGCTTTGCAAGTTCACAAATATCACAATGAAAATTTTCAGCATTTAATCCTTTGAACAAAGAAGGAAACATATTTTTCAAATTTCAAAAGAAGAATGTCTAAGACGAAAATAATAAAGCCAGATTTTATCTTTATTGAGAGATTTTTCAGAAATAAATGACAAAGGTAAAGTATTCTTGATATAACTTGTGTTATTTGATGTCCTAAGATAATATAGTCCATCATTCCCCTTAGCAAATCCAATTCTCTTTCCTGAACTCTGGTCTTGAAATTCATAATAGGAGAGATAAAAAATCACTTTACAATTTATGTCTCTGGTAAATTTTTGTATATATATCAAATTAGTAGACAATCCAAGAACATGAAAAACATTTAAAGTACAAACGAGAGATTAATTTGAACATCTCCTAATTCTACCATTGTAGTAAGTAAACCATTTGCAATAATAATTTTCTTATTACTAGGATAAAGGGTATATATACTAAACTTTTATGAAGAATGTGTCTTGGTCTGTGATCATTTAGTCAATGACCCAAGAACTCGTAATAGGCTTAATTGAGACATTTAATCCATGAGATCCAAAAGCTTTACTTGAATTAGTGATCTTACCCAAAGAACATATTTCAATAGGTTTTTCAAGAGTTTTCAATAGACTTCTTAGTTTCTCAATCATTTCTCTATCCAAGTCTCTTTGCTCCCAAGACTTCTATAGTACTCCAGTGGTTTTACCAGTTGTCACTTCCTCAAATTGGGTAATAGCAGCAGATTCTCTTATCTCTGGCATGGTTATCTTTCTTAGGACTAAAATAAGTCTTAGTAGTAAAGGTTTAACCAAAGACGATTCTAAGCAATGAAGGCCAAAGAAGGAAAAAATAAGACTAGAAAATTTAACAAGATTTGGCTATGAAAAAGCCTAAAATAGAATTCAACAATGAAGGCTGAAAAAATTTTCTTCCCAAGAAAAGCCTAAAGCTTTGAAACCATGTGGAAAAAACTAAGAAATAAAACTATATGAAAAATTCAAAGTAAAATTGAATGTATATTGAAAAACTGCTCATAAAAAAATTATACAAGCACTTAGGTTTATATGCAACTAATTAGTGGGTAAACAAAAAAAAATTAAATCTTCCTAAAACTGATTCTATAATTAAAGGATTATTTATCCTAATTTTATATCCTTAATTCTAGATATACAAATACTTAATATTAGAAATACAAATATAAATATATAATATTACAATATTATAACTAACTATAAATAAGTATTTTCTCACACCATTACCACCTCCTGAAGATAAAACCTCCATGAATTCAACATTACCGTGCAATCTGCAACGGAATTTTAAACAAAAAAAATCGCAAAGTGAAGTACAGCAAGTCAGCAACCACACAACCAGACATGACCTTAAAAACAACACAAAAAGAGAAAGAAGGGAAAATTTTTCATGCTCCGTTGTTTGGTACTCTCATCAATTATATTTTGCTGTAAGGTAAAAGCAAATCGTGAAAAAGCAAAACCATGTTGATTAAAATGCATATGATATGGTAAACAAGTAACAGCAATTCAAACATGACAGTTCCATAGAGAAGTAAAGTCACATGCGTCTTGACTATCCATGAAAGTCAAATTTTTTAATATTTTTATTCATACAAAATTGCTTTTACATCCTAAAGCCTGTTTTGTTTTAGCTTTTGAAACCAAAAGATAGAGCAGCAAATATAATAACCAGACACAATATAAGGGATCTGCTACTTATCCAATTCATTCTAAATACTCCCTGAGCAACCAGCATCTACACTATAAAAAACATGAGAGAGGGAACAAATGAGTACTACTTAGAAAAAGAAAAGGCTGATCTTATAGATATAGCATTAGTACATATTTTTAAAGGTTTTATGGATTTGGAACCAAACCTATAACTGCAAACAAGCTCGAGAGAAACCCTGAAGACTCCCCATCCATAACTCCGCCAGGCTTGACTTTCGTAGAGTTTATGGCTTCCCTGCTGCCCTCTTCTTGAACCCTGACCGCATAGATTTTGAGAATGTTAGCAGCGGTGACGATGAGATTCGAAACGGTACCAATGCCGCGCCTTGAGGGCCATTCGGATTCAAGATGTTCGGTCTGGTTGAGAGGAATTTGGGACGTGAAATCCACAATGCAATGGGTGACGAAGCCGGAGGCGTAGTACTCGATTCCGTTGGGCCAGTGCATCATCTTGTAGGTCGCGTAGCTCATTGTCGATGTCGAGGAGATGTAGGGTTTTGGGAACAAAGAAAGAAGAGGGATGGAGATTGAAAAATAGAGAAGGGATTATGATTTTTGGGAAGTGAGAAGGGAAGAGTAGAGTGAACTACAAGTCTTAAACCCTTTTGTTGGTTTAGTGTGGGTTTGGCCGGAGAAGGGATGGACGGATGGTCTCAGTCACGGAATTTTACATTTCATATTTTACATTTACTAGCTATGTTATTATCTCTAAATAATATTAAAACTATGCATTTGCGTATCTATTGTAACATAATTATATTTGATTTTCAGCACAATAATATTTAATTATTATGGATCAAATAAAATGATTTAAAATCATGAATAATAAAATTATTTTAATAATTAAATTATCACGATCATTTTTTGTTAATAATTAAATTATCACGATCATCTTTAAAATATATAAAATGCTACCTAAATTAGATTAAGAAAATGGATTAAACTTTATCGTTTTTTTTACAGCCTCTAATTTGTAAGAATCCAAGAACTTGAGCAACCATGACCAAACTAAGGGGATTATTCACAAACATCCAGTGGATAAGAATTTAAAAAAAAAAAAAAATTGGAAAAATTCTGACGGTTCAATAATATTTTCACTTCATTTGGAGATTTTAGTTATTTGGACAGGATGAATCTTAATGATGAAATAATATAATTAGATGATTGCATCATTAACCATTTCTCTATTCTGGTGAGAGGAACCGATATTGATTGACCTACTAACCGGAGAGTCGAGAGACAGTGACAGACCAACCAACTAAATAAGAGATCGCCGGGGTACAGCTAACCAGCCAGCAGGAAGGCAAGGCATAGAGTCAATCATGATAGCCAGGAATTGGCTATCGGCTACAGACATGGGAAGTTACTGCACGCCCTTTATTTAGAGATGGGAAAAGATTCGCCAGGGTAAGAAAGGCACCTTAGGCACTTTAGAAAGATTATTGGGTAGGAAGGTTTCTCAATTCGGCATCGCCTGCACCCTATCCCGATTCATGAGAAGCTTTTTCTTTCATAAGGGATTCTGTTCTGTCCGTCTGGTTATCTTAAATACTGATGAAAAGGATCTTCACCTCCCTCCCAGCTTTCATTCTATGCCATCTTCTTTGACTATTTCGGCTATTGGATTAAGTCCATCCATCTTGGAGGAGAGATTGCCTTCCTTCCTAGGATATTCCCAAGACCAAGAGCAGTTCTTTCAACAGCTAGGAACATTTTTTTTCCTCCGCCAAGTCATTCAGATTAATTAAGGAAAAAAAAGGTTGTGAATACAATCCGCTATTGATGCAAAGATGAACATCTAGCTTAAACAAATTGGATAAGCAGCTTGAAAATGCCTCGTCAACAGTTATGCACACATTCCTGAGAAAAGTTTAAAGCTCTGAACATTTTCAGTTAATTCCCAAAAAAACAATAAGTATTCATGTTTAAACTTTGAACCACTAACAAGGGCAGAAGACCCTCATAAGTTGCATTACTTGCTCCCTCAAGAAGCATCTAGCATTTGGAAGATGCATCAAAAAGATGGTACAAACTTCGAAAACGCAGAAAATTTTTTACCTCCTACTTATGATTCAAAACAATTTCCTCATTAATCTGCACGAAAGAAAATAATAACATGTCAATGACAAAGCCACTAAGGCTATTGCTCTATGATGTTAAAGAGAAGCATTTTGACTTACATATTTCGCAATTTCTTTGGCTTTCTCATCGTTAAAACCTAATTTGGCCAAGATCTTGTGGCCTGCTGATTGTTTTTCTGACCAAATACCAAGAAGCAAGTAAGTTGTGGTTATTTCCCCACTTTCACCTGAAATTGGCACAATTATCTTGATTAAATATAGGAATTACAGTTCAAAGATGATGAGATAATGGCACGATAAGGAATAACATATAAAAAAAAAAAACTACATTATTCGCAAAAGCCTGCTCAGTTCATACCAAATCTCAAACATTTAGAAACATGTAGAAAGGAGGAGAACGAAGCTGTTGAAGAAGTGTGGAGTTTGTCACAGGTAAATATTACCTCCTTTAGAGATCTTATTGTGGCAGATAGGATGGTTCGGGTCAGTGTTAACTGTTAATTGCATAATTTTATAAAACAAGTACATCATGAACTTCAAAATTATCATAAGCCAACCCTGTTGTACACATCATGCAAAAAGGATACACAATTGCAAGTTCCATCCTTAAATTTTAATATTAGAACAGTTATCCTTAAGAATCATAATCTGCTTTCTTTAGAGACTTAGATTCCACTCAACTGTCAGGAAATTAGTAAACATGAAGCGCAGGCGCGCGGGTCATTTCTCTAGCTTGACAATAAATTTTTGCAATCTGTAACTTCTTTAAAAAGAAACTAAATATTTTATTGCAACCTCCTCGTTTCTCCTGAAAATGTCAAAAACCATAATTGTGAAGGCAAACTGACTCCTATGGAACCCAAGATCTATAATTTCCACAAATCACCTCCATAGGTCAGTAGCAGCGACTAATATTCCACTTATTCACATGACATTTGTTGATTTAATACTTATGTATTAGTTTTAATTTTCAAATCAGTCTTACAATCTTCCATCAGTTCAATATAATTCCCTTTTAAACCAATTCCAGTTGAAAGTTGAAAAATAAAACCTATAAGAATTAGATCAACTCCACACCACAATATTGTGGGGCCCTTAACCATACTTAATTTGCATTTATCATGCTACACCATGTTTCCATATCTATCCTTACATATATGATGTAACCAACTCTATGTCTAAACTTCTGTATGGCATGATAAATATAACAAATGAAGAATCAGAAATTTTCTTTTACCTGACTTTAGTTTTTCATCAACAACCCAATCAAGGACCCTTTGAGCTTGTATAGTTAATGGAGGACGTACAGGGCCGGGATAAAGCATATCTGACTTTCCAAGTAAGTCCACTGTTTCCTCTCGCACCTTGAAATGTGTGATTCCATTAGCCCTCAAAAATTTTGCAGCTTGGCTTGTTCCTGTACATAAAATAAAGGCATTACAGACACATTACCAGGAAAAAGAGTGTCACACAAACATTTGAAAAGTTTTCAACCATCAAAGAGATTAAAAGGGCAACGGTAATACAGTACGACTTCCTTGCATTGACAACATCTTTTAAGTTCACAGATAATACACGTTTTTTGTCCATTTTAACTCATTTAAGATATCTTTTTCCATTTCTCTGGATGAGGGCTGAGGAGGTGGGTTTACCCTCATCAAATTAAAATTCCTAAGCAGAAGATTTTCACACTTCTTACATACCTCTACAGCATTAAGAGCACCTACTTATTACTACATTTCTGTTTCAAAATGCATACTGTGATAATCCCAAACAAATTAACGATGGACACTGCAGTAGTGAAAAACTGAGAATAATTGTTTGCCACCATTGCTAATTGAATTGAGGGAGTAATTGCTAAATTTATTCAAAATAGAGTCCCCCTTGAATATACACTAACTCACCTTCGGAATTATGTAATTTCTTAGGGGAATCAATCACAAATAAGGCTGCTACCAAGCAACACTTCTTCACCATAAGTCCCCAACAAAAACAGGTTTTCATAGAATTCCGCAAGAAAATTTTCAAAATTACTTTTTGAAGCAAGACATACGATGATGGCATACAGCAGCACGTAGTGAGTTGAAATACTAAAAGAAATCACTAACCCTCAACCAGAATTCCCATAAGAAGTGATTCAGTCCCCGTATTTGGATACTTGAGCTTCCTTGCCTCCACTTCCCCCATTGCGAAGGACTTTATAGATCTGGCAGACCATCTAACCATCGGAATCACCCAATTCCAAACAATTAATTACTCGTAAACAAAACCTCAACCATTAATACGAAATAAAATCTACGCGAATATTTACACGTACAATACGTAAACAGACAGATATGAGCATATCTTTATTCAATAGTATTAACTCACTTAGGGGATTTCTCGGAAGATGTCCTCTCTGGTTTCCTGCAAAAGAAAATCAAGAAAAAAAAAAAAAAAGGTTCAAAATAATCGGTAATTATCAAATATAATAACAAGTAATTTGCAGAAGTTGGTTGGAACATACGCTGGGAGGCTAAACGACACCGTTGCAGTGGTTGAGGGATGGTATTTGGCGACGAAACGGCTCAAATTGGAGGTTTCAAGTAAAAGCTTGTTGCCATAGAGAGAGCTCGAAGGAAGAGAGAGACAATAACCGTGGCGTTTGGAAGGTAGAGATTGGCTAGTAGAAATCGCAATTGGGAAAAAAGAGAGCCTCTGGGTAGCCATTTAAAACTTTAAAAAAAAATGATATTCAAGATTTTGAGAGGAATGGTGAAAGTAGTATGAATTTGGTTTTGAGTGGCGCCTCAGATTATCGGACTCTCGGCGGAGACAAGCGAGCACTCACTTTCTCGGTGCGTATAGATAGAGCCGAGGAAATGGACGTTGAGTTTGGATATTAGGCTTCCGGGGGCTATTAAAGGGAAAGAAAGCGTTTGAAGGCCTTGGCGGCTGATGTTGGAATGGACTAAAATAGTTTTTATGACCCACTGGAGTAAGATGGTGTGAAATTCCTGAGTTTGTCTGGGATTATTTGATGCAAATTTTTTATTTTCTCAATCTTAAAATAGAAAATAAGTTGTTTTATTTTTAATTACTTACATAAATAACATTTTAAATTAATAAAACTTTTATTTCTTCTCATTTTCAACTATTTTAGATTTTATTTTTTAAATAATATAAACCATCTTAATTTTTCAAATCTAAACATCCTAATCTCCACTTAGAAATAAAAAGAAATTGTGGAATATCAAAAATGATTTTAGGTAATATTTGATATCATTTTTAAGATTATTATGATAATATAATCATTGAAAAATTAAAAATTATTGTATTTGGTACTATTAAAAATTTGAAAGTAACTATTAATATTGTAATATTTACATAAGTTAATGATTTTAATGTTATTTAAAAATACTAATTTGTAAAATATAGCAATATTTTATTTATTTTATAATAAAATATAATAAATTATTAAATCAATAAATATGTTTATTTATAAGGTAAATTAATTTTTATAATACAAATTGTGTAAAAATATTTCAATTAAAAAACAACTAATATATTAAAATCATAACAAAAAAAATTATATTGTAAATATTAAAAAAGTAAAATACACAAACTATTTTTGAACTTGTTATAATGAATATTAATTTCAAAATATAAAAATTTATGATATAATATAATTACAATTTTAAAAAGAAACAAGTTTTTAATACACATATTAAATAGATAACATTGATTATTATTAATTTTACATATCACTTCACATTGATAATGAAAGTTTTTCATAATTTTACATGGAAATCAAATCATTATATAAAATCATCAAATGCTTACAAAATACAATAATATAATTATCATAAGCAAATCACTATAATTTTAAAAATAGTCACCCTATATCAAATATTAATTCAATAACCGACAAATATTTACTACATCTGGAGGTTAGCCCTTGGCCCACTTGGCATAGGCCCATAGAAATTTTGAACTTTGAAGGATTAGATATAAAAATAGCTCATATACTACACAATTTTTTGTTACTTTGTACCTAAAAAATAAAATTAACAGTTTGATATTTGACTTTTCATTTTTTCATCCATTTTGGCATTTCAAACAAATGTCGTTAGTCAAGTTATTGATATGACATAAATATTTAATAAGATATTGACATATTACAAAAAATCTAATTAGTGTCATATCATTAATAGCTATATTAGTATTAAAAGAAAATTTTAAAAAGTTTTAAAAAATTTTCTAAAAAAAATTAAAATATTTAAAAACATTTAAAAATGTGAAATATTTTAAAATTATAAAAAATATAAAATATTTTTAGAAATTATAAAACTTAAAAAAAATGGAAGCTTAAAAAATTAAAAAAAAAACTCCAAATTTTAATAAAAAATCTAATAAAATCTAAAAACTCAAAAAAAAAAAAACTTTAATAAAAATAAAAATTTTTTAAAATTTGAAAACAGATTTAAAAAAACATAAAAAATTAAAAATAAAAATAATTTTTTTTGGAAATTTTGAAAATTAGAAAATTTTAATTTTTTAAACAAATCTAAAATTTTTTGAAAAATTAGAAAATTTCAAAAATCTAAAATATTCTTAAAAATAATATAAAAATAAAAATTTTTGAAAAATAAAAAATAAAAATAACTTAAAATTTTAATAAAAATCCAAATTTTGTTAAAATTTTGAAAATTGCATAAAATATATAAAAAAAATTAAAATTGTAGGATTCAAAAAAATGAAAATTTTTCATAATTTATAAAAAAATTTATAATTTTTTTCAAAATTTTAGATTTTTTCAAAAAATTTTAGATTTTTTTAAGTTTTAGCGAATCTTTTTTTGGAATTTAGGAAATTTTATTTTATAAAAATTTTCTTTTTTATGAATGTTTCAAAAAAGATTTTTGGATTTTATTAAAATTTTAAGATTTTTATAAATTTTTAATTTTTTATAATTTTTTAATTATATAAATATTTATAATTTTTTTAAATATGTCAAAATTTTAACAATTTTTTAAAATTTTTGAAAATTTTTTTTGAATTTTTGTGATTTTTTTAGAATTTTTTAAAATTTTCTTTTAATATTGAAGTGGTAATTGATGATGATATGGTACTGATTAAACTTTTTTTACTCATATTATTGGATATTTATGCAACATTAATAAGTTGGATAATGGCGTTAGTCTTAGTATCAAAGTAGATGACATCATGAAAGTCGGAGTACCAAATTGAAAATTTTATTTATTTAGATAATAAATTGACAGAAAGTTTATGTTACATTGGTCATTTTTATATTTTACCCAACTTTGAAGCTTAAAATTAGACTTGGGTGTATTTATATCATATAAGATATTAAAATTCATGTATTTGTATCATATTTATGTCATAACGTATAGATCTGTTGACCTACCGCTAAACATGAACTAGAAGAGTCGTCACCGATCTTTTTTGTTTAGGTGTGATTAGTCACCTGATTGAAACTGTCATATTTAAAGAGGAGTCTCAAGATTGACTTAGGTATCTTTAAATAGTATATTATAATCTACGAAACCAGAGTTTAGATTCGAAAGTATGATTATGCGTGAGAAAGGTTATAGCACCTCCACAGTACCTATCCAAAGATGATACCAGTTGATTCTAAATTATCAAGCCTTAAAAAGGTTTATGCTTTTATCAAAATATTAATTATTAAAAATTAGTCTTAAAATTATCCTAATAGTTTGGTAGTAATTTAAGTTAATTTTCGCACATCAGGAGTATTCATGGAGACTAGTGTTTTACTCTGAAGAAGCTTCATCATCAGCTTTATTAATTCATTTTATTTAAGAAAATTAGTAAAGTCTCTTAATAGTTTGGTAGAACTTACTTTGAAGTAGATCTTTCAATAGTTTGGTGAGATTTTATTATAAAAATTATTTGTAAAGATTTTTGAGAATTTCATTAAATCTCCCAATAGTTTGGTGAGACTTAATTTAGAAAGCAATCATCCAATAGTTTAAAGGATTAAAATTATTTTTATTCTTCTCTTATTATTATTTTTTTAAAAGAAAATGATTTATGGAATTTTCCAATAGTTTGATGAATTCCATTTTAAAAATTAAATCCATAAAAATTCTTCAATCATTTTGTAAAATAAATAAACAAATAAATAATCATATCAGAAGAAAAGAATAAATTCGGATCAAACTATATAGAAAAAGGAAAAAAAAACAAAATCCATTTAGCATCTTAAAAAGTAAAAAAAATAATAATAAAGCATCATGATAAAAAAATTATAAAATCTAAAAGTAAAGCACGTGATGATGTATACCAAGTTAGTGGAATAAGATTTTTCCATTTATTAATTTTGTTCCTCCATCACTTTAAGCTTTAATGCTGCTGATTCAATTTCATATTTCCTAAATGCAGTTTTTAGTTCTCTTTCTAGTCTTGGTTATTTGTCAAAATTGCCATTGACTCTATCTTATTTTTATTATTGTATGGAGCTCCTTTCTGAATTGTTTACATTTCACCACTTTGACAAAGTCAATATTCCAAGCTTTAAGTTCATCATCGGTGTTCTTGTCTTTGCGACGGAGGTGGCATCAACGTGCTTCAATACTCGAAACCTTTAGATAAGATTTTGTTGGTGATGTTGGGGAGAGGGACCTCATTGTCGACAAGCTTGGGTCTTGATAGTTCAAGGGTTTAGACAAAATGAGGTGGGTGATAGTGGTTTTGGGACTGAATTATGGGGATGGATGAGATGGTATTGGGTTCAACCATAGAGGCTTGGTGAGGGCTCCCTTAGCTGGTGGGCATTTGGGATTTTGTATTGAATATTTGTTTTGTTGTAAATTGCTACCTGGGAATTGGATTTTTCGTATTTACTGTTTGGGAGTTGCTAAAATGTTTTCTCCTACATATGCCTAAAATTACCTTGTGGAATTCCTAGGAATCACTTGGCAATTGTTTTTTGTCTGTTGATCCTTGTTTGCCCCCTTTCTGCTTTCGATTAGTTTTTTATATGATTCAATCCTTCTTTATTTTAGCCAATAAATTGAATGTGAATTAATTGCATAAATCAAGCATTGAAATTTCCTGAAAAATCTTCAACGTAATTGCATAAATCAAGACCAAATTTTATACAAAATCTTTAACGTTTTTTTTTTTCAAACTTCCCCATTTGTCTTGTTTTTAGACAAGTAAAATTAAACAAAAATAAAAAAATAAATTAAATCAAATTAAAATTAAAACTTTTCTTATTGGGCTCAAAGTTTCCCAATTGAGCTCAATTCATAACTGAAAGTCTATTTCCAATCTTAAAAAAAAATTGGACAAAATAGGGTACTACAATTATCCCTCTTTATGCATTTTTTATGAAACAAAAACTATGTAAAGATAAAAGATATCCATTTTGTTCGAGTTTGAAAGTCAAGATTTAAAAAGTAATCGAAGTATACTAGAATAGGAAAATGATTAAGACTGGACTACAAAACAATAAATGAAATGATTTGGATTGAGCCAAAATCAAAATAGGTAATCGAGATTGAACTACGAGTCAAAAAAAATATAAAGTTTAAAATTTCAACTCAAATCCCAAGATTCACAATTTGGACATTTAAAAATTTGTAAGGTTTCATAACAGGAGTTGAAAGATCCCAATATTTCAAGTTTAACAAAATCACAAAGATTTAAGATTTACAAAGGTGTTCAAATTCGTAAGAATGGGAGATTCGCAAGATTCCAAATTTCACAAAGGTTCTAGATTTGCAAAGATCTCAGGTTTGCAAGGACTTTCAGATTCACAGAAAAGAAAGATTCACAAGATTCCAAGTTTCACAAAGGTTCTAGATTTGCAAGGATTTTAAGTTCGCAAGGACTTTTAGATTTGCAAGAAAAAAAGATTTGCAAGATTCCAAGTTTTGCAAGGGTTCTAAATTCACAAAGATTTTAGGTTTACAAGAAAGAAAGATTCGTAAGATTCAAGTTTTGCAAAGGTCA